CCGAGTGAGCCACAGGCCGGCCCTAGACCTGATTTTTACCTCAGGAGGGAGACGAAGGTTATGCGCCACAGTCCCCCATTCACAATCAGCAGTGCCTAGGATCATGTGGAGACGTCAGAGAGCAGCCCTCTGCTCTTCTCTGGCAGCTGTGGTCACCACACAGGACTCCTGCTGCACGGTTCATTACCCAAATGCATGGTGCCTCACATTCGGGGCCTTCCACTTGGCTTCCGGAGTGTTCCTGGATCCATTCTTTCCCAGGGTCGCTGTTTCTGGTTTGAGAAAACTTTTTCTGGGGAGTAGCAGCAGGGAGTATGGGGGTGGTGGGTGGGGGAAGCTGACCTTGAAGCGATGGGAAAGGTTAGACATCTGGGTCTGTGCAAAGTGTTCTGTAGAGTAACTGCCTTTCTAGGAGTGAGGGTACTGGTAAGGAGGACCAGAAGCCTGCCAGCCCTCCTTGAAAGTTACATGGCAGCTTGTCACCTCGCTGTTGCTTCAGAGATGTTGGGTTTATCCAAGGTACCTGTGGTGGAGTCTGATTTAGAAAATGATAACTCAAAGATTACTTTGTGTGTTTTCTTTTGTTTATTAAGAGAGAAAGAGAGACTGTGTGTGTGTGTATTTTAAGTTGAAATGCTCCATTTCTTTTTTGGGAGCAGGCGATAGTATAGTTGGTGACTATAGAGAAGAACCTGAAAGTTTCCTCCTGAGCTCAGGTAACTCATTCATTCTCAAAGAACTTTGGAGATTCTCAACTAAACCATGTTAAGAAGCCCATTAACAATGATTTTCTGAAGTCACTGGAGACTAGATTTGCTAGTGCTTTGGAACTAGATTCTGAACTTTTTTCTTTTCTTTATTCTGTTTCTTATGTCCTAGTGACTTAGACTGGGCAGTGTTCGAGCCAGATTTCCTGGTTACCAGCTCTGTGGACACCTACATCTACATTTGGGATATCAAGTAAGAACAATTAACAGGCAGATCCACTTGGTTGTGGGACAATTTGGGACCTTTATTTTTAGAGATCAAGTGTGTTAGTTTGGTTTCCCTTACATGCAGAGCCTGAGACAAGGGTTTGAGTTCAAATACACTATTTAGGAGGTGAAAAAAACACTGGTAGGGGGCTGGAGAAGAAAGGCAGGGTTGGGAAGTCCTCAAGTAGAGGGAGCATTATCCACTGGGTACCCCTGTGAACAGGTAGAGCTTAATCTTATTGGGGAGTGCTGGGTGCTAGTGTAAAACTCCCTCCTCAGAGGTATCCCACTGAGTGCTCAACTGTCAGTCATTAGTGAAGGCTGCCCCCAGTTGCTCTTAATTCCGTGGCACTTCAGGCTTGTCTCAAAGGATTACGCAGCAGGCCTTAGCAGCCAGGGGAATCCCTTTGGCGAGGAAACACAGGTGCTGGCATTCACAAATCGATCCAGAGTTTCCTGAATTGGGAAGTGATGGTGAGAGGTATTTTGACAGGGCACAGACACACGTCTGCTACAGCAGGCAGTGCTAGGAGACACATCTGCTGCTCTCTTTACTTGCTCTTTGTGAGTCTTCAATTCCCCACCTGTAAAAGAGGGCTAATACCCATCTCACAGGGTTATACTACATGGAGTAGACAGTAAAGGAGCACTCAGCTCAGGCACTTCATAACCCTGGATCATCATAAGTTCTTCAGTATCTCCCTTTGCAGGACAAAGTGCCTTTTGCCATGTAGGTAGAGGTGACATCTGTAGAGTCCCCCAGGCTGGACACCAGCTCCCCTCACCAGGCTATTCTGTTTCCCTCATGGCAGTGGCTTTGTGATGTTTTACATTACTGATTGGTACTATAGGCAGAAGACAAGCCAGGTATTGAGGTGAAACAGACCAGACAGATCAGGGAAAGATGGTCTCTTAGGCAGGTAAGGATGTGCGGCTGACATGACCCAGCATTACATACAGATAAGCACGTTAGAGCTGAATGGACTAAAGGCAATGACAGAGGGGGGACAAGCACAAAATCCAGGGGAATGGCAGAGGGAACAAATACCCAGGGGGCTATGGGGCAAGATTAGATTATCCCTCTTTTACACAAAACAAGTATTTTCGTGACTTAAAGACACTGAACTGACAATTCCTCCTCAGATTTTCTTTCTTTTTGATGGCTGTCTGGCTCAGCGAGTGAACCCTGGACCTTGGTGCTATCAGCACCATGATCTAACCAACTGAGCTAACCAGCTAGCCCTCCTCAGGTTTTCTAAACAGTAAGTTGAGCCACAGATTTGCCTTGTCTGGCCTCTTCAGCCCGAGGTGCTGCCTCATTTTGCAGTTTGGTGGAGAAGTTGCTCTTCTGACTTTGTAGTGAACTGTGGAGCCTCTCTCTCCAAGAGTCTCCCCTTGTATCCAGAGTAGTGTTTTTTTTTTTTTTTTAAATCGTGGTAAACAACACATAACATGAAATTTACCATCTTAACCATTTTTAAGTGTACAGTTCAGTAGTAAGTATATTTACATTGTTGTGCAGCACATCTCTAGAACTTGTCTTGCATAATTGAAACTCTAACCATTAAACAATTACTCCCCATTCCTCCTTCCCCCAGCAACCACCCTTCTACCTTGTTTCTATGAATTTGACCACTCTAACTACCTCCTATAAGTAGAATCATGAAGTACTTATCATTTTGTGACTGGCTTATTTCACTTAGCGGAATGTCCTCAAGGTTCTTTCTTGTGACATACATCAGAATTTCCTTCTTTTTTAAGGCCGAATAATATTCCATTCTTTGGACATACCACATTTTGTTTATCCATTCATCTATTGCTTCCACCTCGTGGCTATTGTGAACATCTAGAATATTTTAATCTACCTTTGAAATGCTGTTGGGAATGTTCTTGCAGAGTGTACTTCCACGACCGTCACCTTGTTGTTACTAGGAGCAATGGCATCAGGAGGGGATTCTCTCCCTCTGCATCAGGGTTACCCAGGCCATTCTGCACCCTGTAATATGTTTTCTATGGCTATGACTGTATGATTTGAAATTCAGGCTCAGCCTCAATTGAAGTGGCTGATAAAGTTCATCTGCCTTGAGGGAAACAGGTCTCTCTTTACACTTGTTCTTTTTAAGGCCTTACAGCATGCCTAACTCCAAGCTCCCTCTGAGAGGAAAGTGACGAAATGTGTGCAGAGGGTGAAAAGCACCAGGCAGATGGTGGCATTTGAATTGGCATTTGATTTCTGATTTTTATATTTCAGAGACACAAGGAAACCTACTGTGGCACTATCTGCTGTAGGTGAGTGTACGCTTCTCCTGGGCTTGTCTTCTTCCCTTTCCTTCCTCTTCCATTCCTTCTCACACTCTGACCACCCATGCCTTGTGCTCCACCATGGCTGGGTGCAGGTATAAGTCCCACATTGCAAGGAGCTTGCTTTAGGTTGTTCTCAGAAGCCAGAATATGGATCCGAAACCTATTTCAGAATTCAAGGACAGGAGCCAAGTCGGTTTGTTTGTAGATGTTTTATTGTGGAAATCTTCAAATGTATATAGAAATAGAGAGAAGAAAGTGAACTGCCTTGCGTTTACCGTCAGCTATAACAGTAGTCATCATATGGCCTATCTTATTTCATCTTTAACTCCACCCAACATTCCACCTCCCACTCTCATCCCCCTTGTGATTTCTTTTTTTTTTTTTACAGAGGACCAGCAAGGGGATCTTAACCCTTGACTTGGTGTTGTCAGCACCACGCTCAGCCAGTGAGCGAACCAGCCATCCCTATATAGGATCCAAACCCATGGCCTTGGTGTTATCAGCACCACACTCTCCCGAGTGAGCCATGAGCTGGCCCTCCTTGTGATTATTTTGAAGCAAAACCCAAGTATCATATAATTTCTTCAACAAATATTTTTGTATGTATTTTTACAAAAGAAAAATCCCTAAAAAGAAGTAACCATAATACCATTAACATACCTAAAAATATGAACAATAGCTCTTTAATATCATCAGACATCTAAGCAGTATTTTCAGATTTCCCTAATAGTCTCTTTTTTTTCTTTTTACAAATTGAGTCAGAATCCAAATAAAGTCCATACTTAGAAGTGATTGATATGTTTCACATCTTTTTTAGACTGTAGATATATTCTCCCTCTCATTTTTGGGTTTGTTTCCTTTCTTTTTCTTTTTCTTTTTTTGCAGCTGACCGGGTATGGGGGTTTGAACCCTTAACCTTGGTGGTGTAACACTGAGCTCTAACCAGCTGAGCTAACCAGCCAGACCTGTATTTGTTTGTTTTGTTTTCCTGCAGTTTATCTATTGAAGAAACCAGGTGGTTTGTTCTGTGGTTTCTCCACAACCTATATTATGCTGATTGTATTCCCACAGTGTCATTTAATGTGGATGAACTGAGTTTTTAAAATTACTTTCTGATCTAGCTGTTTTAATTGCTTAGTTGGAATAGACTATTTTTGGAATTCTCAACTAGGGCTATTAGGGAGTATTTTCACCACTTCCTGAGAGTAGAACATGGGTATAAAACTGGTATAACTTACAGTGATCAAGCCCAGTCATTAGTATTTTGGCATCCTTGATAAAAACATGTTTTATCTGTATCTTAAATCCTATTCCTTTCTATCATCTTGGTACATCTGAATACATATTTGGTGTTTGTTGCAAAAGGATTACATGATGATTCTTTTTTCGTCTGCCCCCCTATGCTTCATTATTTAAAGGCATTTAAGCATGATTGTATTAAGCAGCTGGATTTTATGATCTGTGAGGTTAGGGACCATGTCTGTCTTTTTCGGTGCTGTAGACCTGTGTTTACATTTGTGCATTACAGACATTTGTGCCTGACCCAAGGAGATGCTTAATAAATGGTGGTTGTGTGGCTGTAGGAATCAAACACCTGTGATCTGAGACATAGTCTGGCTCATAGACATGGCTGTAGAGGACATGTAGCTGAATAAAAAAACACATGCCTAAATCACATTCCCCTGGCATTGTTACTTACACTTAAAGGTTTCTAAGTTAAATTGGTTTTAGAGGAACCCCCAAAAGAAAGACGGTTCTTGTTTTCAGCCCACTCATTCTAATTGCTTTCTTTTCTGCTGTAGGTCCTTGTCAAAAATAGAAGTAAGAGACTTCTTTCCTTTTTGCACCTCAGTGAGGGTTCTCAGTGGTGGCAAAGCTACCCTAGTAGAAAAGTGGCTAATGAGAGGCTTATAGACCTTTATAAACTTGTGAACCTTTATGTCGATGTCTAATATTCCCTAAGAGGTGCTGCCGTGGATGCTGCCTGCTCCCAAGAGTCTGCGGTCTCTGTCCATCAGAGAGCACATTGTTTATGCCCTCTGGGATAGGAAGTCAGTAACAGCATGTCTGTGTGTGCTCCTGAGTGTTCTCTGTCAGAGAGCTCTTAACAGCCTGGGACTTCCAGTTGTCCCAGGTGTTGCTATCCCAGTAAAGCAGGTTTGATTAGGGGGTTCTCAGAGTCGTTTGGGAGCCTTTGTGTTCTGATGGGCCCCTCACTGAGAAAAATATATTTTCTTAGAACTCTTCAAGTAACTCTGTCAAGAGAGAGAGCAAGCACTTCTTACTTACTTTCTCCTCTAGCTGATACCTTTTCTTGCAGAGAAACTGAGTATCTCAAGTAATATGTTACTTTGCTTCATCTTCAGTGATCTCCAACATTTGTTCTTACATGACTTAAGATGTCCTATGTGTCAAGAAAAAATAAGAGGAACAAACAGCTTCACCCAAACCAGCACAACATATCCTTGGGCAAGGACAGGTCCTGAGCCTTCACTCTCTATTTCCTGTTAGATTCTGAGCCCTTGCTCTGTCTCACTCTCTGGACTTCTTGGATCACATTGCTCTCCAAAGCCCTGGATCTACTATGGGTTTCCTGGTGATAAACACCCAGCCAAAGGGAAATTTGTCAATGTGCAATATCATGTGTTGTGTGAGCAAGGACAAGATGAAGCAGGAGGGAGAGCCCTCAGTTTGGTTCTAGTTTAACTTGATTAGCTTGATTTTTTTTGAGTCTGTTAGAAGTGCCACTATGTCCCGGTTTTCCGTGTCTCAGTGCTTTTCTGGCATCTCACTTTATGCTTCCTGTCTTATGTAGTTCTTTCGTCACTATTGTTGCCTCTCTGTACTAGGAGAGAGGGAAAAAGACTGAGTTCGTCCAGTGCCATGGGTGTTCTCTTTCCCTGACTCAGCACTGTGCCAATGGCCATGTCTACTCTGCTGATGGGGAGATGAGAATCAGGAGGGGAGCACATAAGCCCTGAGAGCAGAATTGTCAACACTGGGGCTTATTCTTAAGCTGAGCTTCTGTTCAAGACTGTTTTTCCAAGATTGTTCCTCAAAAACAACAAAAAGTGGAAGGAGCTGGCATGAGAGCTGAGGTTCTTCTCAGTAGGAGCACAAGCTGGTGTCATTGGGGTGATGAAAGGCCAGGTTGTGTCACGAGTCAATTACCAGCCAGCAGTGCCATGCTCAACTACTGCTCTGTAAGAAACTGCATTTTCCTGCTGATTCTGCTCAGAAGAACCTGTAGATTTTTTCCCTGAGATTATTTGCTCAAGTAGGTGACTGTGATTCTGTTCCCATGTGTTTATTCATTCATTTTGGGGGGCTTCATTTTATCTGTAATGGTGGAGTTGGTACAATCATAGAAGCTTGAAGGGTTCTGTGCTTATTCAACCAGAACTCATTATCCATCTCCCCTGGAGATGCTTCAGTATGTTTCCAAAAGTGTTGAGGGCTGCAGCTTTCTTCCCTGATTTTTCTTTGCAGCGGGTGCCTCCCAGGTCAAATGGAATAAAAAAAATGCTAACTGCCTTGCCACCAGCCATGATGGTGATGTACGGATATGGGATAAGCGGGTGAGTAATCTCTTTTTTCCCCCTCAGTTGGTCTTTGGTCCCTTCCAGAGGGTGTGAAGAGGATGTTATGAGTCTGGGGGACCATGTACAGCATGGTAAATTGCCTTTTTAAGCTCAAAGTACCAGACGACATTTACTTCTTAATCTGATTGACGTTGATGGAAGGTAGGGAAGTGAGGCATTATGATCAGTGGTGAAGAAAATGAATTCCGGGCTGGCCAGTTAGCGCAGTTGGTTAGAGCATGATGCCGATATCACCAAGGTTCAGGGTTCAATCCCTGTACTAGCCAGCCACAAAAAAGAAAAGAAAAGAAAATGAACTTGGCCTGACCTAAATTAGGGCCCCATTTTGCTGACTCCTAATTTTGACATTAGGTAAGTCCCTGTAACTTCTCTAAGCTGTGGTTTTCTTATCTTTAAAATAAAGATAATAATAGGGAGTTTATCTCTGAGGTCACCAGATACTATCTTAGGGACCAGACACTATTCCAGAATACTCAGCAGACTTCTTATCCATGCCCCTATTTGCAAAGTGAAAACTGATTGTTCTAGGGTACATACCATCCTGAATATTTCTGGTACAGAGCACTGAGGCAGAGTACCCATTATGCTCAAATACCCCCCCAGAAGTGTAGACAGTCCATCAGCCTCAAAATAGCTTGTAGATTGATCATATATTCTCACTGCAGCAGCTAATGTAGCATTAGGCATGAAAAGGTACCAGGTCATAGGCTGTGGCAGTAATGGGAAGTCTCTTGGAAGTTTGGTATGTTGGCATCAGTGAGAATGTTGATTCAGGGAAAGGGCCTCCCCCGCATCTTACTGCCAGGCAGTTGGGTTGTAATGCCTGAGGTGTAAATACTGCTTCGTGCTTTGTGAAGCCTCAGGCTAGAGATCCTCAGCCTTTGTGGGGAGGACATTGAGTGTCAACCATGTAATAGTCTGCTGGGTGCTGAGTGGGCATACAAAATACTACCACGTACTGTCTCGATCCTTCAGAAACTCTGCTTTGTTTTGTTTAAGCCAAACAAAACACCACCAAAAGTCATCCAGCTCTTCTTCACATACTTTGTAAATGGGCCTAATTTCTTCCTGCTCCAGCCTGATGCATGACTTTAATGAAGGATACAAGGTAGTGAGAGCTTGTTCTTTCTACACTTACAAACTCAGTGCCGGTCTGTTGCAGAAACCCAGTACAGCAGTGGAATATCTAGCAGCCCATCTCTCCAAAATCCATGGCCTGGACTGGCACCCAGACAGTGAGCACATTCTTGCTACCTCCAGTCAAGACAACTCTGTCAAGGTAAGTGGCACCCACCAGGGCAGTTGGAGGAGCTGTGTTTGGGAGGCATCAGGGATGTGTGCTTTTTTCTTTGGGAGAAAAGCTACAGTATGTTAGCATAGTATGTGTGTCTCCCATACTATGTGCTTCTTGGGAAGCTGGGCAAGTAAACGTGGTTGTTTTTACCACTGACCAGCAGGAGTGATGTTGTAGAACCTGTCTGATATGGCTTTTAACATTGGTTCAGAAGGTTTTCTTCTTTCCCTTTGAGAAAAAAGGTCAGGGGCAAAAGCATTTAGAAAGGAAAAGAAGTTTACTTGCAGAGGTTGCAAGGAAATCAGGTATACATAACAGAAATATAAGTAATAGAGAAAAGCCCACAAAATTGTTACCAAGGTTACTGAGTTTACAATTAGTTTGTTCATAGTGGAGAAATGTCAATTTTCTCATATGATGATTATTTCTGCAAAAGTTACAGCATTTCAGATATCAGCATTGCAAAAGCCAGAAACAGAGTTGCTTTTAGTAAACATTTTCTTTTCTTTTCTTTTTTTTCTTTTTGTGACCGGTAAGGGTATCGTAACCCTTGTCTTGGTGTCGCCCACACTGCGCTCAGCCAGTGAGTGCACTGGCCATCCCCATATAGGATCCGAACCCGCAGCCTCAGCTCTCCCAGCACCGCACTCTCCCGAGTGAGCCACAGGGTCGGCCCCAGAGTTGTTTTTACTAGGGATTCTCTAAACTTATAGGAAATGCTCAAGGTTTTATGTGTTTCAGTGACCCTGTTACTCTTGGTTTATCTCTGACTGCAGCATTTCTTGTTTTCCCTCTCTGACTACGGCATGTGATACGCATCCTGAATCAAAATGATGGCAAGGCAAAGTCATCTTTGCTCCACATTTCCTCCTTGCAGTCATGTCTCTGTCCCTAAGGACAGGGATTTGACCACAGAAGTTGGTTTAGTAGTTTGTCATTCAGCATCATTAATTTAACGTGTATTATATTTACATGGGCACATACGGCATCTTTTTGGTATGCTTAGCAGAACTAGAGTCAGACACTAAGGCCTAAAAGTTAACTTCTGTCTTGAGCTTTGTAAGTCCTCTGGGGTTATACTTTACTTTTAGGTGCTAGCAGTGGCTTTTTTGTTTGTTTGTTCATGTTGTATTTGGGTTTTTGTCCCCATTCCCTGATCAGCTTGACTCCCAAGTTCAGGAACCAGAAACCATCCAATTCAACTTTGCCCTTTCTTTGAGATGCCCAAGTGTGTTGAAATTCAGTGACATCTTTACCACCTGTGAGGCTGTGATTCGATAGATAATAGAGCAGGTAACAACCAGTTTCCTGGGAGGACTTTATAGGCATCATTTCCACATTTAAATTACAGTCCCTGTTTCTTACTAGTAGCCTTAGCTTACTGATGAAGTGAAATTTTTGGCATGGTATTTGATTTATTCCACTATATCCTAAAAGGATGGAAGATGATCTTTATTCAATGTATGTAAATATGATCATAAAAAGTGAAACAAGGGCCGGCCTTGTGGCACACTCAGGAGAGTGCGGCGCTTGGGTGCGCAGCGGCGTTCCCGCCGCGGGTTCGGATCCTATATAGGGATGGCCAGTGTGCTCACTGGCTGAGCGCGGTGTGGGTGACGCCAAGGGTTGCGATCCCCTTACCGGTCACAAAAAAAAGACAAAAATAATAATAATAATAAAAATAAAATAAATAAATAAATAAAAATAAAAAGTGAAACAATTTAGTAAAAGCCCCTTGCATAATATTCAGTCATTCTTGTAGTAATTTGTAGGTAAAGATCAACATGTCATTTTTCCGCATAATCATTATTCTTGTTTACCTGACAGTTCATTAACTTGTAATTTGTAGTAATAGTTTTTATTATATTTTTATTTCCTGAATTCTAAGGGGTCAGCTGGAACAAAGTACCACTGAATGAGTGTTTCACTTCAGTTTGTAAATTGTTTAACTATAAAATAGTTGAATTGAGGGTAAGAGATAGATCAAGAAGAAAAACAGAACATTAGTCACAATTAAATTAGTTCATGTCATTTTAGGTAATTAATTGTTTTTTTTTTTTTTTTTCTGGTCATGGGTTAAGCAGTCTCTTTCACAGTATTGCTGCCTTCTAGTCTAAGAGAGTCCTGGAAATCCAGACACAGTTCGTTGGTACATTTTGACAGGTGTGTGTCTGGCCATGAGACAGGTCAGCCTCACTCAGAAGCTTGTTCCCCGAGTCTGTTCCCTGTGATGTCAACAGTCAGGAGAACCTGATTCTTGATTGAGACTCTTCTGGTATTTCTTCAGAAGATTTCCTTTCTTATCTATAGCTTGTAGCAGGGGCCCTTTGGCAAGGGTAGGAGAAAAGCAAAGTTCCCCACAGATACCAAGGGACACTGTACATAATTAACCTAAGGAGGTTGAATTTCAATTTTGTTAGTTTTTCATATATTGTGAACTTGATAACAGGGCAGCATTTATTACTGAGCCAATTAAAAATCTGAAGAACACCAGGCATACCTAATTATTTCTAGTATCCTTCCTCTTATAAGTTGAGGGGGGAAATTACAGTTTACCCTGTGGCCATCTGAGGAACTGAAAAGCAGTTTAGATGGAAAAGACATCTTAACAATTTTATTATTTTGAACATGGGCCCTGAATTTGGCAAAAAAAGAATTGTCAGAAGGAACAAGATATAAGCATAAATCATAAGGGTCTAATGATAAAAAATGATTATAGTCTTTTTTTTAAAAGATGACCGGTAAGGGGATCTTAACGCTTGGCTTGGTGTTGTCAGCACCAAGCCAGTGAGCTAACCGGCCATCCCTATATAGGATCCGAACCCATGGCCTTGGTGTTATCAGCACCGCACTCTCCCGAGTGAGCCACGGGCCAGCACTATAGTTGATATAGAGTGAAAATAAATACAGCAGTAAGTAACAATATTTATTAAGAATAGTAACCTTTTTTGGAAAAGTACTTTAGTTTAAGAAAATAATTCACGAACATTTTGAAAAATACAAAAAGTAACAGTATTTTAGTGATTATAGTAGTCCGTTTCTGTTGCTTATAACAAGATACCTGGAACTGGATGATTTATAAGAAAATGAAATTTATTGCTTACAGATTGGAGATTGGGAAGTCCAAAGTCCAGGGAATACATCTGGTGAAGGCCTTCTTTGGTGGTAATTTCAGCGATGTAGGATATCCCATTGCAAAAATGGTGGAGCAGAGAGAGACTCTAATGGGCTGTCCTTTTAAAGCCCTCAGAACCATGCCTATGACCACCATTATTAATCCATTCATGAGGGCATGGTCCTCAGGATCTAATCAACTCTTCAAAGCCCCACCTTTCAATTACCATAATAGGATTTCCCATTCTCTTCACAGTCACAGTAGGGATCAAGCTTCTAATACATAAAACTTGGGGGACACAATTCAGTCCATATCAGTGATGTCAAAAACCTCTGCTCTCTAGGCTCAGACTAGCTTTTTACTGTTTTTACTGTTTTATTGCTGCATACGAACTACATGCTCAGAAATCAATTGTTTAAGCAGAAAGAAAACCTAAATTTTAGTTTTATCCCTTTTGTATACAATTCATACTGTTCTGTTTTGCAGAATAGCCTTTTCACAAGGCTTTTCCATTTTACAAGAAAATCCATAACGATCAGCCCATTTTATCAACACATAATTTTTTTTTTTCCGTTTTGTCTTTTTTCATGACCGGTATCAGGATCGCAACCCTCGGTGTCGCGCCCGTACCGCGACCGGCAACGGGATCGCAACCCTCGGTGTTGCGCCTGGACTGCGCTCAACCAGTGAGCAGACCGGTCTCTGTATGGGATCCGAACCCTTGGCGGGAGCGCGGCACTCTACCAAGTGCGCCACCGGGCCGGCCCAACACATAATATTTTTTATTGCTCCTGTCATACTTATTATTTGCCGATATTACAAAGCAGAGCAAATATAGCTCACTTCTCATCAGACCTACAACTTACTGTAAACCTTCAAATTTGTCTTTTATTCTTTTTTTTTTTTGTCTTTTTTTTTTTTTTGAGACCGGCCGCACTGCGCTCAGCCAGTGAGCGCACCAGCCATCCCTATATAGGATCCGAACCTGTGGCGGGAGCGCTGCTGCGCTTCCAGCGCCGCGCTCTCCCGAGTGCGCCATGGGCTCGGCCCTGTCTTTTATTCTTTTATATTCTGGCACAGACAATTTTATTATTTGACAAAATTACTCTATTTTTCTCCTTGATAAGGAAGAAATACATTGATTATCTTGCACATGTGTCCTTATACAATCATAGATAATATTTGACATCCTTAAAGTAGTAAAAATAAGCGTGTATACTAATGTGATCAAAAGGTATTTGTAAATCCTTTCAATCTATTAATTGTTGCATAATCAGTAAAGTATTAAAATAAGAGGCAAGGATGTGTATGTGTGTATACAAATTATGTTTCATAACCCAGTTTTTAAAAAGTATTCTTTATCTTATTTAGAAATTGTCCAGATATACAAAGGTCTTTTTTATTAATAACTTAATTCAAGGTCTTAAAGTTAATTTAAGGATTTTGCAATTACAATTTAAGTTGATATTATAGCATAAAGAAACAAAAGTTAATGTCAAGAGTTTGTTAGATATCAAACATATTTACCCTGATAGAGTGATGTAGAAGCTAAGTTCTTATGATCTTTAGTATTATTAAAAGTTCGTAATTGCGTTGTACCCCATAAATATACACAATTATTATTTGTCAGTTAAGAACAAGTTTATAAAAACACTTTTTAAAGGCATCAGTTATTTTTATTCAATTTAATTTAATGTAACTTTTTTTTTGGCAGCTGTCTGGTAAGGGGATCTGAATCTTTGACCCTGGTGTTGCTTCACCACACTCTAACCAACTGAGCTAACTGGCCAGCCCAGTTTAATGTAATTTTTACATTTTCCTAATTTTAAGCATTTTATGGAAATGATGATAACTTGTATAATCCATAAAA